GGCTGCTTTCTCTGGAGTCCCTGCCTTCTCTGGAGTCCCTGCCTTCTCTGGAGTCCCAGCCTTCTCTGGGGAGGCTGGCTTCTCTGGAGTCCCTGCCTTCTCTGGAGAGGCTGCCTTCTCTGGTGTCGCTGCTTTCTCTGGAGAAGTAGCCTTCTCTGGAGTCCCAGCCTTCTCTGGAGAGGCTGCTTTCTCTGGAGAAGTAGCCTTCTCTGGAGTCCCAGCTTTTTCTGGAGATCCTTTATCTGGAGTGCTTGGTTTTTCAGGAGATTCTACTTTTGCTGGAGATGCTGTTTTCTCCCTTTCTTCCTTAGCTGCTGCTGTTTCCTCCTCTTCACCTTCCACTCCCTCCTGATCAACACCTTCACCTTCTTTACTGTCTTCTTTCTCTTCTGCTTTATCAGTCACAGGTGATTTGGGGGGTGATCTAGGAGGAGATGTTTTCACCTTTTCTACCTTCTCTGGTGCAATAACTACTTCTTCAGGCTCTTCTGCTACTTCAGCTTCAACTTCCTCAGCTTCTCCTTCACCTGCTTCTTCTTCTGCTTCTTCCTCACCTTCTTCCTTTTCACTTTTTTCTTCTTCTTTTTCTGATCCTCCTTCTGCCACATCAGATTTTGCACCTTCCTCTTCTTCTTCCTCCCCTTCTTCCCCTTCTTCTCCTTCACCTTCTGGGGCTGCAGCTTTGACTTCAGCCTTTTCCTCTGCTACAAATTCCTCTTCTATAACTTCTTCCTCCACTTCTTTGCCTAGTACAGTTTCAGCAGCCAGTTCTTTAGCCATAGCCGCAAGAGCTTCATCCAGTTCAGATTTCTCATTCTCTACTTTGGTCTCTTCAATTATTTCTTCTACAAACTTGTGTTGGACCTTTAGTTTTGGTGGCTCAGCTTTTGATTTCTGTATTTTGGTAGTTGATATTGTTACTGAAGGTTGCCTATGTGTGAATGTTGGCCCAGTGATGCTTCCAGAAAAGGCACTGAATCTTGTTTCTTCACCCTCAAGAAGTTTCCTATAGAAATAATAGGAAAACTGTTAACATGGATCACTAAGATCTCAAGGAAAAGGTGTGTATACACACACACACACACACACACACACACAGGTGTCTCTGTAAGAATTTGAAATAGCTTTAAAATATTCTCTCTTCCATAAGAGCAGTAACATCTCGCACTTTTTAAATTAACGTTTTCTTTCTGAACCATTTTGCTGATGTGAGTGGGAGAGATAGCATTGGCAATCAACTTCCAATTTGCACCCTCCACTCAACATAATTTGTATGCCTCAAGAACGTAGAGGAAACAACAACCCAGCTCAGTTGCTTCACTTATGTCTGCATAATTTATATCTGCATTTTCCAGATTATGTATATTTCTGAGAGATCATTCACGAATACAAAGAGGGGTCTACTTCTAGGTGTACTAAGAATCCTTGTATTGCTCTGAAGAACACTGCATTGGTTTAAATATGATGAATTGGAATATAGTGATGCCCAAATTAAGCTCACTGAACAATCTAAATTTTTTATCAGTGACAGCATACTTTCAACATGGCTAAATAGAGCCCTGTATATTTTTTTTCTTTTTCCAGTAAACTAATAACATCTACAGGTTGTTGCAATTTTTCCCGTGAACAGTTAGCAACTTTGAATCCCAACACAACCAACCACTGCAAATTCTAGCCAGTGTTGGCAAATACGACTGCATATACTAAATTAATCCTTTTGTAAATAAAGTGAACAACAAAAAAATCATCAGAATGAGAGGCATGATTTTTCTTAGTGCAATTTAAATCAAGGAAGACACATTTGCTTTGCATTATGTGTGTGTATTTTTTCCTCCTGTACACTAACTCTAACACACTCAAAATAGGATTATGCAGAAGCATATATGTTCAATCTTTTCATGGAGGTTTACATATTTAGTACTATGACTTATTGGCATATCATCCAAGTCTCTTATTGGATAAAAAGAGACAGGCATACAGTATCCAGCAGCAGCATCTAAATAACAAAACAAAAAATACTTTATAATCAGAGATAAATGTTTACTAGAGATAGGGATGAAAAGCCAATTACTCTATCTCTTCAGAAACCTGTGGCCAAAATAGTCCCCTAGATTAACCTTTTGGAGCTTGTTCATCTGATTTTGGAAACATTCTGCTGTGATAGACAGTATCAAAGTATTTGTGAATTTAAATCATTAAAAAATGGTTAATAGCAATGACATCATGCTACAGTAGCTACATTCCTACTATGAAATTAAAAATGAAAAAACGCTTTGAAAATTCAGTTTGAGTTAACTTTCCTTTGGGGGTTTTTAAAGTTGTTTAGAAGTAGAAAAAGGGCCGGGGACAACAGAGTTAAGGAGCATATGCACATATCTACCCTCCCACTACCCAAGGTCCATGCCAATCTTCCATTCCAGGTTGTAGCAGCTACATTTGGTAAACAAGGAAATGAGAAAACAAACTTCAAGAAACAACATACACTAGGATTAAAATGACAAACTTGGTTAGCTGGAAATTGGCCCTATTGATTTCAGTAGGACTTTGTTAATATGGAAGTCCCATAGCAAGATACTGCTAAACGAATACGATGTTGATTTCAACAGAACTTCCTTCCTTAATAATTACGCTTAGGTCAAAGGAACTGCGGTGCTTTCCACTACACAGAAAACAGTTACTAAAAAGCAAAACACAGTATTACTTGACCAGATTTCATAGAGTGTTAAGATGCCAGCAAAACTCCCAGCTACCAAAGTGCCTCCTGGGTTGCAGGTAAGTTGTGCTGCAGTGAAATATAATTGCCTGTCTGGTTACATCTGCATTGTGTTCTCAATACCTGTAGGCAGCAATTTCAATATCGAGAGCCATCTTGACGTTGAGGAGATCTTGGTATTCCCTCAAATGACGTGCCATCTCCCACTTCGTACCTCTCAGCTCATTTTCAAGCTGTTGGATCGTGTCCTGCAACCAAGTCATAGATGGTTCTTTAGGACAGGCACAACATCACACGCACATTTGGACACAAGGTAGATTGGAGCGGAAAATCAAGGGGAAAGATGATTACTAGAAACAGAGATAAAAGGCAAGTCTCGAACCTTAAAGGATAATTCATCACTCCGCTTCAAGTACTAGCTTGTTCAGAATGGCTCTTAAGAATGAATAACTTTTTTTTTTGGACAGCATTATAAAAATGCCCAGTTCTGATGAGGTTCTAGGACCTCATCCCAAGAAGCAGGAGATTGGGAAGAGTCTGAGTATGCTATTATTCTTCTGTAGAGAGGTTTCCTACTGGAGCATTCCTTTTTTAAAAAAAATCATCATAACCATTCCTAAAAATTAAGAGTCTTTTCCAACCTGGTGCTCTCTAAATACTTTGGAATACAATTCCCATCAGGTCCCATAGTTGGCCAAGCTGGCTGAGGCACATGGGAACTGCAGTCCATTGAGGGCCTCAAGCTGGGGAAGGCTGAACTAAAAACAGGAAACTTAAAAATATCAGCATTCTGATAGTTGCTTTTCTGGACTCACTTCTCTTTTATAAATCATGTAATTTTTGTGAAAATAAATTTTGGCACCTTACACTGAGAATCAGAAAAACAGAAGCATGTTTTAACAAGGCAGGAATGACTTGGTATGATGTCATTGTTTTAGACGTTTCTTTGGATTATTAAAATTAATAGTTGAACCAGTTGAGCCTGTGTACTTTGACATGGTGGACAACAGAACATCATTGTAAAATTGCTACGCTCTTAACTTTGCTGTGGATCAAGCACCTCTGCATGCAACATTTGAAGAGTTACCTCTTGCAAAGTATTTGATATTCTCAAATACTTAAAATGCATCTACTATAAACTTCAAATTAATCCCAAAGTTAATGACCAAAACTGCAACCTAGCCTATCAGCTGGCCGTTCAGCAAATTTGGGATGTTTCAGTTTGTTTTCAGCTTATTGGTATTACAATGCTGGACATAGATCCCAAAGAATCCACAGCAAATCAGATGTTGTGTCCCCAAAAATGTTATTTTTCATCCCTCCACAAAGTCTTTCATTGCTGCATCTTATTTGTCTTAATGAATATGTTTTTGGCAAATTATTGCTCCTGGTTTTCAAATCAATCACAAGTGTCTTCTGAGTTGGGAAGGAGAGAAGGATCTTGAAAAACTAAACCATTCCTAAGAACAAAAATGCCTGTATCTGTCTTGCAGCAAAGGGTGTGTGTGTGTACGTACATGTGCCTTTGAGTCAGTGCTGACTCCTGGAAACTGCCTAGTCTAGTCCCTGAAGTTTTCTTGGCAAGATTTTGGAAGTGATTTGCCATTGCCTGCTTCTTAGGGTTGAGGGAGAGTAACTGGCCCAACGTCACTTAGTCCTGCCAAAGGCGGGACTAGAACTCATTATCTCCTGGTTTGTAGCTTGGTGCCTTAATCACTAGACCCAACTGGCTCTCTGCAGCAAAGTATTTAGATCATTTATTTGCTGCAGCTAAAATAGTCAGCCAAAAGGGTGTTTTTAAACAGTTGGCCTTGATCTGAGTAGTGAGAGGTTACTCTTTTTCCAGTTTTGGTTCAGCCTTCTGAAAAGCTTGTCCAAAGATCCTCTGGAATAGCATTTCAATGAAAGCAAGAAAAGGCAACCGAGTAGAGGGAGTGGGTATCATCAGCAACCCTTCCCTCTGCTGTCTGCAGTTTAGTTTTGGCAAGGTTGATGACAGGGCAGGAGAAGTAATTATATTTGAATCAAATCCCAAGGAATTTAATACAGGTTAATATTAAGTGTTCAGAATTCATGGAAATAACAAGATGCTCAACAGATTTTCCTTATCTAAAAGATTTTCACTAGAAAAATGTTTGGGCATTACATTGGGAAATCTCTGCAACCCGTATCTTCATATGTTCAGATAATTCCAGCAACGCAAGAGATTTTCCCTGTGAAATCCCAATGAATGTGAAATTGGCTTTAAGTTTGCATTACAAAATGAATTTTTGACATATAAAAGTACGTTGGTGGCATTAACTGAGGAAAGCCTTTGCTCTGCATGGGGCATTGCAGGTATAAATTCTGTTGACTCCTATTTATATATTAGGCATTTCTGTAATGCCCAATTTTGCAGCTGCAATGGAGATGGCATTGCATCAATTTCTAAAATATTGGTAGCCAGATATTAAAGTATCCCCAGAAATGCGGTCCATCTGATCTGCTTACTGACTGAAGTTTCTCCTAGTTTTAAAGGATACCACTTCTTTTTAAATCTGTACTGCTCAATGTCACTCATCAAATTTTTTTAAAAAGCTCCCTTCTGCTGCCAGCAAGACAAGTTCATGACTTCTTTGATGCTAGCAAGTTCTGCATTGCAGAACTTTGGGGTGTATTAGACAGGATGATCCTGATTTAAGACCACATTTTGATTAATGGACTTTTCTGGATTTTCCTTTCACCTTCTTCCCAAAAGTTAATTCAGGGGAAGTCATTCAGATTTGCAGAGTCTGCTTTCCAAACTGCGTTTGGGTTCTCCACTGGGGATGGCTAACTGGATCTCCAACAAAATAATAGCATGAATTTTCACTGAGCTTCCTTTTGCACTGCACAAGTCTGCGTACAGATTGGCTCAGCACAAACACCTTCTGCATTGCAGAAGCTAGCACAGGACGGCAGTCGCCTTCCAACAGCAAACGTTACAGCATTGACTATTGGTTCCAACTGCACAGCCCAGTGAACTTTCGTTCCATGTTAAAATGAGTAATCTTGCAACCGTCTCTCCCGATTCTTGCAGTCATCAGCCTGCAGGAGAAGGGTTTTTGAGAAACAGTAAGTCAAATAGCTCTGCTATTCTAGAAATGTTGATTTTTCTACTGCAGGTATGCCTGACGCAGAGTTTTATATGCAGATTATTTCCATCCCATCCTTTACTTAATCTCATACACATTTTTTTTAGTCACTTTAGGTCTGTAGAAAAGACAATAATTACAGGAAGAGTAGAGCATTCCTGCTTTGTTGCTTCTTGTCCCAACTCTTCCTTCCTTTGGAACAGTATTACTGGATTTAAAAAGGCTACTTAAAGGACATGGTTTGGAATCCAGATGTTTTGCAACTCCAATGCAGAATCATAGAAAGGAACAGCATTTGCAATGCTTAAGCATAAGACATTTAAGTTTTTATCAGTGCAGAGAACTCAGGAGAGCACTATTTACAATTGATTTTCTTTCCCCCCCCCCCAACAGTGCTAATTCTGCAATGCATCTGTTCCATTTTGGAAGCTGTTGGAGAGGAAGGTTTGGTGATTACCAACTGGGTAGGTCCAGTGAACATTATTAAAATGTTCCAATTTATTCCTTTTGCATAGTGAATCTACCCTATCTTGCCTTTCTAAAACCAACCCTGTGAAGTTTTTTTTTGGGGGGGGGTCAACATTCATAACTCTTCTTTCTTAGAAAGAAATCAGAACTTGAGTTTACTTTGAAGCCAGTTCTGTATGTCCCACAGCCTTCTCCGTACATTTTCTTCCTCTATGCTAAGAGGTATTTGGAAATGGATTGCTGGGACTCTACACAGAAACTGAAATGATGAATCAAAGGGGCAGGGGGTGAATTTCTCCCTCCCCAATCCCTTCTTTTTTGCAGCTGCAGTTGGTAGACTGAAAACCCCAAACGTTGCATCTCCTTTTACCCCAAGTCTCTCCCCCCAAGCAACATCTGACTTCTATGTCATGGAAACCGCCTGCATATCCTTCCCATTTTGTAAATGTTTGGGTGGCCTGAAATAAAGGTATGATTTTTTTTTTTTTAAAGAAAAGGACTTACACATGCTATTTTTGTCATGGGCTTTGAAGTGCTATTTCCCCTGTTCCAAGTTTCCCCACCTTCAGTCGCAAGCAGAACATCTCTTGAGGTGAGAAATACACCTTGGTGAAATACAAGCGTATCTTTCTCTTCCCTGCTCCATTTCCCCCCTCCCTTTTATGACACCTCCCCCCTTGGAAGAAGCTCCAAGAGAGCCCCCCCATCTCTCCACACCACTAGAACAACTTCTGGGGATGGTCCACTTACTCTTCCTTCCTATCAGTGGAACCCCCCCCCCAAAAAAAGATACTGGGAGGGGGCCAGGAAGAATGGAAAGAGCAAGACGCATCTCAAGGGAGCCTTGTGACATGTGTTCTATTCCCAAAAGAAGAGTAATAAGAAATTCTGTCTGGGCACTCCCATCTTAAATGGATTTTCCCTGGAGTTATAACTTGATTCCAACCTGACTCAGACTGCTGTCTTGTCTTCATGCCCAGTTTCCAGTTGGTATGTCACAAGCGCTCTCCCATTTAGTAGGGATGGAGGAGCTATTGGAGGGTGGGGAGAGAGAGAGCTTGACCCTCCCCCCTCCTCAGTTGCATTTGGTTTAGTTGGTGTGGGGGGCTATTGCTTTTTCATTTCCCAACTCCACTCCCCGGGGCACACCCCTTCGATTTAGTCTTCATTTATCTCCCGTGAGTAGGAAGGTCCCTCCTCCTCCTCCTATCCCCCCGCCCCGCAATCCCCAGCCGTGCCCCCAAGCTCCAAAGAACATCTTCCAGGAAGATCCCCCGGAGATCATCTATCTATCCGAGCCCTGCGCTTACTTGGTAAGTGGCCAGATCATGGTTGTGGCGCTCCTCGATGTCGTTCAGCTGGCGCTCCAAGGACTCCTTAGTGCCGCGGACGGACTCCAGCTCGATGCTCTTGGCCTGGAGCTGCCGCCGGTACTCGGAGATCTCCTCCTTGGCCGAGCGGATGGCTTCCTTGTTCTGCTCGGCAGCCTCGGTCAGCTTGGCGTAGCGGCACTTGAACCACTCCTCCGCCTGGACCATGTTCTGGTCAGAGTGGCACTCGAGCTGGGAGCGGATCTCCTTGAGGGCGGCCGAGAGGTCGGTCTTCAGGTAGTCCTTGCGCTCGACGGAGACGTGCGAGGCCTGGATCTGGGCCAGCAGATCGGCCACCTCTTCCTCGTGGTTGCCGCGCAGGAAGGCCACCTCATCTTGCAGCGACTGCACCTTCTTGTCCAGCTCGACCTTCACCATGGACGCCTCCTCGATGTCCTTCCGCAGGGCGCGGGTGATGGCGTCGGCGTCCTCGCGGAGGCGCGCCTCATCCTCGAAGCGCTCCTTCAGGCGCTGGATGTCCTCCTCCAAGTGCTCCGAGTCGAGCTGCAGCGCCGCCTTCTCGTGGTTGACCTGCTCCAGGGCAGTGCGTAGCTCGCGCAGCTCCTGCTCCAGGGCTACGCCCAGCTGCGAACGGCCCACCTGCTTCTGCCGCAGGGCGCCCAGCTCGGCCTCCAGCTCCTTGTTCTGCTGCTCCAGCGAGTGCACCTTCTCGATGTAGCCGGCAAAGCGGTCGTTCAGCCCCTGCAGCTGCTCCTTCTCGTTGGAGCGGCTCAACTTCAGCTCCACGGCCCCGCCGCCGCCGCCGCCGCCGTTGAAGAGCGACGACTGACTCAGCTCCAGGCTCTCGGTGGAGCTCAGCACCGTAGAGCCGTAGGAAGTCCGCGCAGGGCCCACATTGCGCTTGTAAGTCGACGAGGCCGGGCTGGGTGAGCTCCGCGACCAGGACTGGGAGCGGAAGCCGCTCGACGGCGACACGCTGGCCCGGCTGAAGGTGGTCCGGCTCTCGGCCACCCGCCGGTAAGACGGATTGCTCAACGGCTCCAGCGAGTAGCTCATCTTGGAAGACTTGCGAGAGGCGCCTTGGGCGGAATTCCCGGCAGCGGCGGATCTGGAAAGCAGCGCCTTATATATCGGAGCCGCACATTGTCTGCGAAGGGGGCGGGCTGGCCGGTATCGCGCGTGACGACGAGCCGTTGCCAGAGTCCGCCAAATCCCACCCCTCGCCCCCAAGACCCCCCTCCCCCCCCCCCGCCGGTAAGACGGATTGCTCAACGGCTCCAGCGAGTAGCTCATCTTGGAAGACTTGCGAGAGGCGCCTTGGGCGGAATTCCCGGCAGCGGCGGATC